AGCAGTCACCCAGTCTGTGTTTGGTCTCACCTGTGTAAAATAGACCACATTGACAGCAGCAAATACAGTAAAACGAGACAGAAAGAAGTACAAGGAAAATCATGCCCCACTTGTGTTTGGAGCCTTAGATAGTGAGGAGGGAAGAGGGTGATTGGGCAGGTGTTACAACTTCTGCAATTGCATGGGAAGGTTGCCACTGGGGAGTAAAGAAATGTTAAGAGTTTTGGAAGTGTGGACCAAGATGTTGCAGACAAAACAGTCTCTGTGGAGTGCTGACAGGGGAAGGGAAGATGTGGTGTCCTGCTGAAGGGGGTGCAAATGGCAAAAAATGAACGTTTGCATGCAGAGGCAGATTGGGTGGAAAATGAGGACAAGGGGGAACCCTACTGTCTGGGAAAGTGGGGAAAAGGGGGAGGGCAGAAGTGTGAGACATGGAGAAAATAAGGACTGCAGATGCTGGAAGTCATAGTCTATAGGCGTGAGGCTAGAAAAGCACAGCAGGTCAGACAGTATCTGAGGAGCAGGAAAGTCAACGTTTCAGCCCGAAACATTGATTTTCCTGTTCCTCAGACACTGTCTGACCTGCTGTGCTTTTAGTGCGAGATATGGGTCAGACCCAGTTGAGGGCCCTGTCAACCATGGCAGGGGGACCGGTTGGTGAAAAAGGAATCAGAGACACCCCAGTGAAAGGTTGTAAATCTTTGAAATTATTTCTAAAATAGCAGTAAATTTCTAGTCCATGCAGATGAAGCCAATAATGAGGTACTAATTCTGTCTGTCGGTAAAAATTAATCCCTGTACTCCTGTTCTAAAACATGGCAAGTGCAGATAAATGATAAAATAAGTTATCTTCAAAGCTCCAATGGCAATGATAAAACATCTCAACAAGTGGCAGTTTCAGAAAGGTATGAAGATCCTCAAGAAAGCACACAGAAGATTTGATAGAATGGTTACAATGAGGAGGAGTTTGGTTTTAGTCACAAGGTTAGTTTGGAAGGCTTGTTTCCTTTGGAGCAAAGGAGACAGAGAGGATTTGATACAGAGGTACAAGACTATGACAGGTGAGGTAGATCAGGAAAAACACTTCTCATTAGTTCATTGTGCAAGGACTCGGACACAGATATATTATTTTGTGCAAGGGATGTAGAGGGATGCAATACACTGTATCTGAATGTAATCTACAATACACTACATGACAGAGGCTAATTCAAAGCTTTCCATGGGATATTTGATAATTATGAAAAGGGAAAATTTGCAAAACGAACTGAACAGTTCTTCCAAAGAACCAACATGGACATTATGGGCCAAGTGGCTTCCTTTTCTACTGTAACAATTTTATGACTCTACTATATACAGGACATTGGAGCAAAATGTCTATTTCATTGACTTTTTTCTCAATTTACCTTTGATGATCTTTCTTCAATGAGCAATCATCTTTCTTTGTTCCTGAGTCCTTTCTAATTCGATTCTTTGCCAAACTTAAAGTAATCTTATTTGTTTTTTGCTCCATTTGATTCCATGAGAGTGAAAAATAAATTAACACGAAACATCAATGATCCTCAAGAAGATCGGTGAAGTTTCTTTACAGCAATTCCAGTTGAGTTAGCTGTCAAATCTTCAACTATGGCCTCTTGATTTGACAACATATTTGACTGTTTACTTTGAAACAGCTACAAAAATATTGCAATGGCAGTGCCTGTTCATAAGTCAGCATTGGAATAATCAGAAAGTAACTGTTAGGCTTCAGATAATACGTGCTTGAAAGGATGTAACAAATCTTCATATCTCAGATTATTTTGTTTTCTTTGTTCACTTGCTGCTATGTCCTTTAGATGACCGAATTCTTCTGAATGGAACTCAGGTGGACCCTGCAATAAAAATTCAAACAAAAAGTTGCATGATTCTGTGATTTTCCAGTAACTTGTAACTGTACTTACTAAATACGCGCAATATTTTCTAAAAAGTGCACGGACTTAATACAAAAATGTTGGGTGGGAAGGAGAGATAGGGGTGGGTGGCTGGGGAGAGAGGCACAAAGGTCATATTTCACACCGCTGTGTAAAAAGACGGGTGAAGCGAGGCTCTAATCGTGGTCAGACTCAAAACCGTCGATTACCGAGAAGAAAGCAACAGGCCTCACCAAAGCCCCATGAACGGACCGTTCGAAAGGCCGCCATTTCTGCCATCCCAGCGGGCAACGCGCCACACCCGTCTCCACAGCAACCAGACGCCGGAAGCGAGTGGGAGGCAAAGATGGAGCCAGCAAGCAATCCGGTGGGAAGCTCTGCAGATAGAGTCAGGGGGTGTCCACAATCACATCCTGAATGCTGGGATCTGATCTTTTAAAATGTGTTTCTAGGTATGCATTGTATATCCATGTATGGTGCTTCCTCGTGTTTATAACTGCTAATACGCGAAGGCTGCTATAGATTTTAAAATGTACAGTTGCCATTTGGGGTCACCCTTTGGGGTCAAAATCTTGATAGGGAAAAAGGTACATTTGAGAAACTAAATTTGCATTAGGTCAAGAAGATTATGTGCTCGGTTTCCATTTCAGAAACCTGGCCAGCATTCCAGAGATGAACTGACAGGAAAATCAAGGCCACATTTATCAAATAATCAATATCCTTTTATTGTCACATGTATTCCATTGTACAAGTACAGTGAAAACTTTTACAATGTCTGCCTTCTTACAGCAACATCTTAAGTACAAGTACCTCGGTACAATTCTTGGATACAACAGAGGATTAGAAGTAGTTGCTTAATTACAGAGTTGAAAATAAGTTAAACTTAGGAAAATATTAAAGGGTTATTAAGGCATTTGACCAATGTGCCATCAAACAGCCTTCACAAAAGTACAGTCAGAAGATCAGAGGTAAGCTCTGGTCAGAGTTATACCTAGTACACAGAAATATGGGTGTGTTTGTTGGAGGTCGGTCATCTCAGGCAGGAGTGTGCGAAGACCAACCATCTTTAGCTATTTCATCAATGACCTTCCCTCCATTATTGTGCAATCATCAGCAACCATCCACACAATGTTCAGCATAATTTGAACTTCCTCAGACACTGAAGCAGGCCATGTCCAAATGTAACAAGACCCAGGCAATAGCTATCAAGTAGCAGGTAACATTCACGCCACACAAGCACCAGGCAATAATCAACTCCAAAAAGAGAAAAACAGCTTTGACATTCAGTGGCATTACCATCACTGACTTCCCTACTCAATACCTTCTGGGTTACCTTTGGCCAGAAACTGAACTGGACTGGCTTTATAAATTGTGTGGTGACAAGAGTAGTTCAGACCTTGGAATCCTCCAACAAGTAACTCACTTGCCTGGATGAGTTCGGCTCAACAACACTGAAGAAGCTTTACACCATTCAGACCAAAGCAGCCCACTTGATAGGAACCACATCCAGAAACATTCATCACAGATGCAAAGTATCACATCTTGTACTATATACAGATGCACTGCAAAAATTTATGAAGGCTCCTGAGATAGTATCTTCTAAACCCATGACCATTTCCATCTAAGAGGACAAGAACAGCAAATGCATGGGAACACCACCCACTGCAAGTTCCCTGCCAAGGATTCACTATCCCGACTTGGAAAAAAGCATATGTCTCATCTCGCTTAGCTGACTGTATTCAATTTTGTTCAACATTTTCAAATAAAGTGCTGAGGGTACAGTATAAATCTATAAGGAACAACATGGAAGATCTCCAGTGTGAAGTGAACAAGCTCTGGGAAAATATTTGAGAAGCTCAAGCTCTTCTGCCTTAGTAGAAGGTGTTTAAAAAGGCTAAAGGAATCTTCAAATGTTTACAGGATATGTAGGTCCAGAATATTGCTTCAAAGTAAATCAGGCTTATGGAGCCAGCATCAACTTGTTTATAGAGTCATAGAGTAAAACAGCACAGAAACAGACCCTTCAATCCAACTCGTCCATTCCAACCAAGTTTCCTAAACTAAACTAGTCCCACTTGCCTGTGTTTGGCCCATTTTCCTATTCATGTACCTGTCGAAATGTCTTTTAAATGTTGTAACTATACCTGCAACTACTACTTCCTCTGGCAGTTCATTCCACATCACAAATCACTCTCTGCATCCCTCAGGTCCCTTTTAAATCTTGCTCCTCTCATAAAATTATGCCCCCTAGTTTTAAACTCCCCCACCCTAGGGAAAAGACCTTTGCTATTAACCTTATCTATGCCCCTCATGATTTGATAAACCTCAATAAGATCACCCCTCAATCTCCTAAGCTACAGTGAAAAAACTCCCAGCCTCTCCCTCTAACTCAAACCCTCCAGTCCTGGCAACATCCTAGTAAATCTTTTCTGAACCTTCTCCAATTTAATAATATCCTTCCTATAGCAGGGCAATCAGAACTGTACACAGTACTTCAAAAGGGGCCTCACCAACGTCCTGTACTCATGATGTCCCAACTCCAATGCTCAATGGTCTTATGTAGTGCCTTTAAACTCATGAAATGTTATAAGGT